CACAGCACTCGGCCGCCTATGACAGTTTCTCTCCTCCCCGCTGGGACACAGATCAGCGCCCAGCGGGGAGAAGAGAATAGGATGCACCGCTGTATCTGCAAGAAAATTGCATTTTTCAGTCGATATGTTTCGGTGGCCGATATATCGGTGCATCCCTAATAAATACTTAAACTACGCTACTTGACCAATTCAATAAACCATGCAATTTTAAAGAATCAAAAGTCAATATTTAAAGAATACTGTCCTTAAAACGTATCTAAACCAAAAATTGTAAGTATTGTAGCTTACTTCCTTAGACGTGGTGGCTCCACTAGTTTTCTTTTTTTGTAGGCTTTTTTCCTTTATTTTCACCTGCCGATCCGGCCAGTTACACACTTCTTGTCTTAGGTGGCTCCACTCTGGAGGATTATTGGAGCCACCCTTGGACAGAAGCATTGTCACCCTGTGGAAAGGGTAGTCTTAGATGAATTAGCAGATTTAGATGAACTTGACTATCAAACTTGATCTGAAGTCCAGCTAACACTTTTTAAGCAGTCACAGCAGCAGTTTTTTTTTTTTCCTTTTGGGATACATAAATGAATAAAAGCCGACCATTGAAAACACCGCTGTCAGTGTAACATGGTTTGTCTCAACCCTCTATCTGCCACCTTTGCTGGACAACTTGGCCTGTTAAAGAAGTTGCAAAATAACAGACCTACTGGCCGGGTAACCAGGTGAAAATAAAGGGAAAACAAGCCTACAAAAAGAAAACTAATGCAGCCAGTACAGTTAAGGACTGGTAAGCTGCAACATATTAAATTTTTGCCTGTGGGTTTAGATATACTTTAATTCCTTGAAGGTATGCAGACAGAGGAGCACACTCTATGGGGTTGATCACATCATCTCCCACATAGTAAGACAATCATTTTTGCAGTATTGCCAAAAAAAAAACCAGTGACATAGCTATAGCCATTGCAGCCAGGTGGCTGCTATGGGGCCTAGGAGTGGAAGGGGGCCCCATTAGGGAGGCCAACAAAGCAAATATATACACTATATTGCCAAAAGTATTGGGACGCCGGCCTTTACACGCACATGTACTTTAATGGCATCCCAGTCTTAGTCCGTAGGGTTCAATATTGAGTTGGCTCCGCCCTTTGCCGCTATAAAAGCTTCAACTCTTCAGGGAAGGCGTCCACAAGGTTTAGGAGTGTGTCTATGGGAATGTTTGACCATTCTTCTAGAAGCACATTTGTGAGGTCAGGTACTGATGTTGGAGGAGAAGGCCGGGCTTGCAGTGTCCGCTCTAATTCATCCCAAAGGTGTCCTATCGGGTTGAGGTCAGGACTCTGTGCAGGCCAGTCAAGTTCCTCCACCCCAAACTCGCTCATCACGGTACCACGCTTGAATCCACTGAGCTCCTGAGAGCGACCCATTCATTCACAAACGTTTGTAGAAGCGTCTGCATGCCGAGGTGCGTGATTTTATACACCTGTGGCCATGTAGGTCATTGGAACTCCAGAATCCAATGATTTGGAGGGGTGTCCCAATACTTTTGGCAATATAGTGTATGTGTGCATGTAAAGATAACACATATTGGCAGTTGTATGGAAATGAGGTCGCGTTGGTATGATTGTGTATAGCCATGGTTATCATTCTGTTATGCTGCCACTTTGTGGTCAAGTGTTTATTGCACTTCTTTGTCTGTGTCTCCTCAAACTTTGTACGAGATGTAACCTCTTTATTTCCTCAGTCTAAGATTAGGCCACGTATGTACATGAGGTCAGGAGAAGGAATATTTGTTTTCACCTTCAAGTATTTCAACACAAGTGCCTACCACATCATGTTGTTTGCCAGAAACCTGCTGCATTCAATAAAGATCATCGTGGATGCAAAGTATTTGGTGAGTTCAGCAATCTCATGAAGATTGTCTGCAGTGATTGTATCTGCTACACAGAGGCCAGGTACAGAGGTCTCAGGAAGGGATAATTCACTATTAGAATAACTGGAGTCAGAATACATACTAGCCAGACCTTAAAAGTTACTCGCCACCAGTTGCCCCACCTAACCCCTACCCTGCTCTGGCCTTAACTTTGCCAGGTCAGCGTTGTGACGCAGAGTACGAAGATCAGTAACAACGCACAGTACAGAAGTCAGTGCTGCAATGCAGAATACAGAGGCCAGCTGTGTGATGTGCAGTACACCGGTCAGCAATGTGACGCGCAGTGCTGAGATCAGCAATGTGACGCGCAGTGTTGAGATCAGCAATGTGACGTGCAGTGCTGAGATCAGCAATGTGACGCGCAGTGCAGAGGTCAGCAATGTGACGCGCAGTGCAGAGGTCAACAATGTGACGCACAGTGCAGAGGTCAGCAAAGTGACGCGCAGTGCAGAGGTCAGGGTGTGACGCACAGTACAGAGGTCAGGGTGTGACGCACAGTACAGAGGTCAGTACACAGTACAGAGGTCAGTATGTAACGCAGTGCAGAGGTCACAAAGAAAGTACAGGGACTTACAGTTGCTTTGACCTCTTCTTCTAGTAATGGTGGGGGAGCAGCGAGGTTTCCTATACATCCAGCCAGCTCCAGGTGCTCTCTCTCCCGGGCAGCAGATGCTGGCCAACTGCAGTTCGGCAGTCTTGTTCTCCCTCCAATGGCAGCTGAGGTGGGCGGAGGAAACTGCTGTGGCCGCCGAGGAGCCCAATCAAAGCGGGCACAGACGATGGCAGTCGAGCTTCTTGTTTTCTTCTCCCCGCCGCCGCAGTCTTAAAGAGGCCCCGCTCCCAGTCCACTTGTCACAGACGATGGCAGTCTAGCTTCTTGTTTTCTTCTCCCCGCCGCCGCAGTCTTAAAGAGGCCCCGCTCCCAGTCCACATCTTTTGGGCGTTATTAATCTGAGTTGCCCCACTCAGTTTGCCCGTTACATATTGGCAGTTGTATGGAAATGAGGTCGCGTTGGTATGATTGTGTATAGCCATGGTTATCATTCTGTTATGCTGCCACTTTGTGGTCAAGTGTTTATTGCACTTCTTTGTCTGTGTCTCCTCAAACTTTGTACGAGATGTAACCTCTTTATTTCCTCAGTCTAAGATTAGGCCACGTATGTACATGAGGTCAGGAGAAGGAATATTTGTTTTCACCTTCAAGTATTTCAACACAAGTGCCTACCACATCATGTTGTTTGCCAGAAACCTGCTGCATTCAATAAAGATCATCGTGGATGCAAAGTATTTGGTGAGTTCAGCAATCTCATGAAGATTGTCTGCAGTGATTGTATCTGCTACACAGAGGCCAGGTACAGAGGTCTCAGGAAGGGATAATTCACTATTAGAATAACTGGAGTCAGAATACATACTAGCCAGACCTTAAAAGTTACTCGCCACCAGTTGCCCCACCTAACCCCTACCCTGCTCTGGCCTTAACTTTGCCAGGTCAGCGTTGTGACGCAGAGTACGAAGATCAGTAACAACGCACAGTACAGAAGTCAGTGCTGCAATGCAGAATACAGAGGCCAGCTGTGTGATGTGCAGTACACCGGTCAGCAATGTGACGCGCAGTGCTGAGATCAGCAATGTGACGCGCAGTGTTGAGATCAGCAATGTGACGTGCAGTGCTGAGATCAGCAATGTGACGCGCAGTGCAGAGGTCAGCAATGTGACGCGCAGTGCAGAGGTCAACAATGTGACGCACAGTGCAGAGGTCAGCAAAGTGACGCGCAGTGCAGAGGTCAGGGTGTGACGCACAGTACAGAGGTCAGGGTGTGACGCACAGTACAGAGGTCAGTACACAGTACAGAGGTCAGTATGTAACGCAGTGCAGAGGTCACAAAGAAAGTACAGGGACTTACAGTTGCTTTGACCTCTTCTTCTAGTAATGGTGGGGGAGCAGCGAGGTTTCCTATACATCCAGCCAGCTCCAGGTGCTCTCTCTCCCGGGCAGCAGATGCTGGCCAACTGCAGTTCGGCAGTCTTGTTCTCCCTCCAATGGCAGCTGAGGTGGGCGGAGGAAACTGCTGTGGCCGCCGAGGAGCCCAATCAAAGCGGGCACAGACGATGGCAGTCGAGCTTCTTGTTTTCTTCTCCCCGCCGCCGCAGTCTTAAAGAGGCCCCGCTCCCAGTCCACATCTTTTGGGCGTTATTAATCTGAGTTGCCCCACTCAGTTTGCCCGTTGCTTGCGATCATATTGAGTGGGGCACTAAGATTAATAACGTGCTGGATTAGTCTGACCCAGGGGCAGACTGGGCCTGGAGGCAGGGTGGCAATTGCATAGCAAGCCTCTCTGATACCTTTGCAAACGCCCCCCACCACCGCCGTAAGCTTTTTATCTCTCCCCTCTCGGTCGCTCTGCTGCTGCAGCGGCTGAAAGGGGAGAGATGAAGTGCTTGCGGCGGCGGGGGGCGTTTGCAAAGGTATCAGAGAGGCCCGGGGGGCAATTGCCAACCTGCACCCGGGCCTAGTCCACCCCTGGGTCAGACTAATTTAGCACGTTATTAATATGAGTGCCCCACTCAATATGGCCGCAAGCGAGGGGCATACTGAGTGGGGCAACTCAGATTAATAACTCCTAAAGATGTGGACTGGGAGGGGGGCCTCTTTAAGACTGCTCTGATCACACCGCTGAGTGATCCCTCTCTCTTCTCCCGACCGCTGCAGCTTCAGCTCCACGAAGCGGGCACTCAGAGAGGCGGAGGTGATCACACCTGTCAGCGTTCCCTCTCTCTCCTCCAGACCGCTGCAGCTTCAGAGCAGCTGGGAGGAGAGAGAGGGAGCGATAACAGGTGTGATCAGAGCCGCCTCTCTGAGTGTCCGCTTCATGGAGCTGAAGCTGCAGCGGCCGGGAGGAGAGGGAGCGAGCGCAGAGAGCTAGTGCCGGCTCTGGATGGGACATTACTGCCGTGGTGATCGTTCGCTTCAGTTCTCTCTTCTCCTCGGCCGCTCTGTAGCTGCAGCAGCCAAGAAAGAGAAGAGAGAACAGAAGCGAACGATCACCGCGGTGGTAGTGTCCCATCCCTGGTCCCGCCGGCGTCACACCTCCTCGCTGACAAACGCTGATAAACATCTTTTCTTCCAGTGAAGTTGTCCTTAAAAATAAAACAAAAATACAGAGAAGGTTGACAGAAGAAATGGAAAACAAAAATGGAGAAATGAAAAAAAAACAAGTTTAAATGGAAAGACATGAAATGAGAAAAAAAAAGGAATGATGGTGAGTCCACCAGTGAAGGATCTGTTATCTGTTACATCTCTACATGCTTGTTGGCCTGATGTGAGATCATGTCAGGGACACATTGTTTTTTACATTGCTACAGTATGTCAAAAGGTATCATTACATCTCGAGCAGAACAGTGTGTACTCACACCTGCATCTAAAGTCCTATGTCAGGACAAAAGCAACTGTTCCCATTATTACTACAGATATTTATACAGCACCAACAGTTTACATAGTGCACATAGTTCACATAATTCCCTGCTCTCAAGGAGTCTCAGGTGGGCTGTGCAGGGTCTCAGCAGGGCTGTGCAGGTTTTAAGGTGTGGTGGGAAAGCCAGGGTCTCAAGTGCGCTGTTCGGGGTCTCAGGTGGACTGTGCGGGGTTTCAGGTGGGCTGTGCAGGGTTTCAGGTGGGCTGTGCTGGGTCTATGGTGGGCTGTGTGGACTATTAGGTGGCTATGTGGGGTCTCTGGTGGCTATGTGGACTAACAGGTGGCTATGTGGGGGTCTCTAATGGCTGTGCGGACTCTCAGGCGGCTATGTGGGGGTATCTAATGGCTGTGCGGACTCTCAGGCGGCAATGTGGGGGTATCTAATGGCTGTGCGGACTCTCAGGCGGCTATGTGGGGGTATCTAATGGCTGTGCGGACTCTCAGGTGGCTATGTTCCCTGAATCAGAGTCTTCTGATTCGGATGTTTTAACAAGGTTTAGTCAGCTCCTGAGCTTCGGTTCATTTGCATGTCAGCAGACTCAGCAAGTGTGCCGATGATGCGCTTCATGAATCGGTTCATTTGAATGAACAGTTCCAAATGAACCGATTCATGGTAAAGATCCGCACTTCCCATCACTTATCTCAGGACAAAAGCAACTGTTCCCATTATTACTACAGATATTTATATAGCACCAACAGTTTACAAGTGAACATTCACATCATTCCCTGCTCTAAAGGAGTCTCAGGTGGGCTGTGTGGGGTCTCAGGTTGGCTGTGCGGGGTTTTAGGTGGAGTGTTCTGGGTTTTAGGTGGGGTGTGTGGGGTCTATGGTGGGCTGTGCTGGGTCTATGGTGGGCTGTGCGGACTATTAGGTGGCTATGTGGGGTCTCTGTTGGCTATGTGGACTATCAGATGGCTATGTGGGGGTCTCTAATGGCTGTGCGGACTCTCAGGTGGCTATGTTCTCTGAATCAGAGTCTTCTGATTCGGATGTTTTAACAAGGTTTAGTTATCTCCAGAGCTTCGGTGCCAAGTGTCATGCAAAAGTGTCCTGACCGGGGATTGAACCAGGGACTGCCAGTGCTGCAAGCCACTATGCTGCCCATGTTTTATCCCTTTAAAGACCCTGCAAGCATTGAAAATTACCTGTTGATTCTGGTAGAAATGCTAACCACCCAGCTATTCATTTCATGTTGTCGACTGAGTGGTGTCGACCCAGCCCAGTTGTCTTTTTCTGAATTACAGATTACTTCCCTCTCTGCTGCACTTATGGAGACGATATAACTAAAAGGTTTCATGGAATTTTATTAGACCGAGCTTTTGCAAATGAGAGAACTGCATTGTTTGGATTTACACACATTCAAGACCACTTGCTTAAAGGCATGGGTAACCAAACCGTGGCCCTCCAGCTGTTGTGGAACTACATGTCCTATGGGTTGCAAGCAGTGTTGTATTTTGGTTTTGTGCTGCCCTAGGCAAGACTAGACTCGGGCACCCCCTCAATCTAAATTTGCCCCACCCCTTCCTGTTCCCTCTGACACATTACCGCTTTGATTATAAAAGGAGCGCTTCTGTCCACAGTATAGTTGAGGATCTTGTACAGCTTTCCACATGACCAGCATCTGGTATGGCACGAAGCGGTGTACCATTAAAAGTCCTCTGTAATAGCACGGGTTGAAAGAATCCATTTTGGGCGATGGCACGTGCAAGCCTACTGTACTCATTCCCATATGCGAGCCTGGGACTAGACCAGCCTTTTGCAGACACATGCCTAGGTAAACATCATCTATAGGGAACAACGGTAATTCCAGAGACTTATTGTAAATAGTGTGGGCAGTAAATCTGGACATGAGTATTCCTCCTCCTGCACAATACATTGGAAAGGAATCGGATTCGGTGACCTGTGTGGGAACATAATATTTGCTGCCAGGGGAACGAATAGGTCCAACATGGGCTATCAGTTGCCCAACAAAGAGGTGACTATCCGCTCTCAGGTCACGTAGGTAGGTGATTACATTGAAGGTGTTGACAAAAACATCATCATCTCCATTGAAGATAAAATGAGCTCCTGGGCAATACTCTTCCAGCCAATGGTAGAAGAGGAACTGTTTTAAAGTCAGGTTAAAAAAAGAGTCATGGAAGACCCACTGCAAGATGTCACCATATGACGCACTCTCAATTCTTAGAAGCTGGTGCAAATGTCTGCTCTCCTGCTGCTTCTTGGACGTCCCTAAGAGGAAAATCCTTTTGACATGGGAGCCATTATAGTTGTTTTGCTTACCCCAGGTCTGGCGAATCACAGCTCTCCTGTCATAGTTTTCTGGAGAAGACTTTATGGCAAGAAGCAGGAATACCCCACGAGAGGCATCTCTTCCGTCGCATTTCTGGTGTGCATTAAGGAGCTGCGGAAACCATCTGCAATGTTTATATCTCAGGAAGTCCTGAATGTGTTCCGGCAGTGTGGAAAAGCCATCAATACTTACTACTGATGAGTTCGCTTGGCAGCTGGAGACCCATTCTTGTTTTATGGGTTCATCTGGGTTAAAAGCAAAGGAAGAAGAGAGGACGGAATGATCTTCTCTTTTTTCTTCATCATTTAAACAGGAGTCCAACAACAACCAAGCACAGCAGCAACAAGTTTTCCACGTTGGCAAACCGGCTCATGGTGACACAATTAAACATAAAAATAAAAAAAGGTATTTTTTCCTTAGACAATGTTATGGGCCATCATGCAAAACCATTAACAAACTGTATCTAAGTAGAAAGCACACACCGTACAGAATGGAGCTGTAAATCTGTTCTGTGGTCTCATCTCTGTCTGCAGGTCATGCAGCAGGCTTTAGAAAAGTGGCTTTCCCCATGAGAGTAGTCTATGGAAAACTGTACAAGGGTGGTGCAGTCTCTGCTGTGCTGCGCTAAATATATATTTTTTAAATATACATATTCATATGTCCCTGTGCAGAGGAGCTTACAATCTAATGCCCCCCCAACACACACATAGGGGCTTTACTACAGAACTCTGCCTTACTTACTACTAAACTCTGCCTTACTTACTACTGTACTCTACGTTACTTACTACTGAACTCTGCCTTACTTACTACTGAACTCTGCCCTACTTACTACTGAACGCTGCCTTACTTACTACTGAACTCTGCGTTACTTACTACTAGACACGTGCGATTAGTTTAGTTCCGAATCGAAATTCGGACTTTCGGATGTATCCGAATTCCGAATTACAGATATAACGAATGCAAACGAATCCGAATTTCCGTTTCCAAAATTAGTTAGCGGTAGTTCGTTCGGACGTTCGTTTCATTTTCGTTTCTTATTTGTTTCGTTGGAGCAAAGTGACATTAGAGAAGGAGAAAAACATTTTTCCCCCCTCAAATGTCACTTTGCTGCAAACGAACAAACGAATAAGAAACGAAACGAACGTTCGAAGGAACTACCGCTAACTAATTTCGTCCGATTCCAAATTGACTTTCACACCCGAATCCCGAAAAACGAAATAACACAAATCCGAATCAAAACGAAACGAAACAAATTTTATGGCAGTGCACATGTCTACTTACTACTAAACTCTGCCTTACTTACTACTGAACTCTGCCTTACTTATTACTGAACTCTACGTTACTTACTACTAAACTCTGCCTTACTTACTACTGAACGCTGCCTTACTTACTACTGAACTCTACGTTACTTACTACTGAACTCTGCGTTACTTACTAGTGAACTCTGCCTTATTTACTACTATTTTACATCAAATGGGTTAGTTTGTTGGTTTGACACACTTTAAATAAACTGTACAGACTAAAAGTTGTAGCGAGCTAAACAAATCCATTAATAATTTTATTAATGACAATACCTTCTTGGTTGTGTTTCTGTCCTTTTTATGATAAATCTTCCAGTATACGATATGCCTTTTTTTTGAATCACGCCAACTTAAACAAATGCCCCGCCCCTAATTAGAGTTCATTATCCGCCTGCAATAGCTTGCTGGATGAAGAGGGGGGAAAAAAGGTGTCGCTAGAAAATTGTTTTGAAATGTTGGCAACTATGGTAGACTGATGAGGTCATCTCTCTTCACCCTTCTGTATTCTCACTGTCAATATATGTGGATGTGGTAGGACCTGATTGGCTGTTACCACTGGCCCCGCCTCTCCCAGTCGGATGTGCAGACAATTACCAAGAGGCTGATCTCAGCACATATTTAAATACTTACATTAGCTGATTTTACAATATAAACAACATTTTGATGAATGCATACATTGGCTGTTGCATTAATTGTAATACAGATATAAATTATAAAACCAATAAATGAGGTATTGTGGTCCCAGTAATCTTGACAGCTTGAGCATTTTAAAAATTAACACTTGCGGTGGGTCTACCACTGCATTGTAGGTCTGAAAGGGTTAAGTGCTCATTTTGGTCCAGGGTAAAAAGATATACTCACCTGATTCTCAGCCCCCCCCCCCCTCAGGGGGGGTGCTTTCTCCCAGGCTTCGGCAGTCTAAGTACCTCCAATACAAGTCCATTGACTTGAGGGATATTCAAGGAAGGAAGAGAGAGGTGATCGTTCACCGACGTGGGACTGAGGATTGGGTCAGTTTACCTTCTTTATTTTAGGCCCTAGACCAAAACGAGCACTTAACCCTTGCAGTGCTGGGGTAGCCCCACTGCAAGGGTTAATTTTTTTTTAAAACTATTTGAAAAATTAAAGGGACTTGGTGGAACATTGTTGACAGGACACGGGTGCCGGGTGTCAGAATACAATAGACAGCAGGGAAGATACCCCTATCCAGGCTGTTCAGCTTGGATGGGAGACTCAAGTGATTTCTCTTGTTCAGCACTGCTGGGCTGTATGAAGGCCCCGCCCCTAATTAAAATTACCTTTGGAGTTCTTCTCTAATAAGGTGAACCTGCGTTTACTTTAACCTCCTCAAGGCCGGAGCAACGGTTTTAGATTTTTCGTTTCATTTTTAGACAAAAAATGAATTTAACCTCCGCAAACAATTATATAATTTCGGAAAGTTCCGATGTGAATAGCCCCCAAAGAGTTAACTATTAACAAAAACAATCAGAGGGAAAATTGCCATGGGGAGAAGGAAAAGAAGAAGCTGATTAGGGCTGATTTGGGTAACCTACAAATTACTAAGTGGTTAAAAGGAACAATTTTTTTTTACTTGCCTTAAGGACCCGTTCACACCAGACACTTGCAGCCGGCTCACTTTGCTGTGGGGCAGCAAAGTGAGGAGAGAACGGCACAAAGCCACGCCCTCCGGCCGCAATGCGACCGGCCGCTCGGGAATGCGTAGCACATCAATGCCTGCATTCCGGTCCGGTCAGAAAAAATAGTGCAGCATAGAGGCATTTTTTCTGACCGGACCGCAGGCATTGATGTGCCAAGCATTGCCGTGTGGTCGATCGCATTGCGGCCGGAGGGTGTGGCTACGGTGCCACTGAGTTCAATGGACTGCCACGCCCCCTCCCGCCCCACAACAAAGTGAGTCGGCCGCAATGCGAACCAGTGTGTTCCAGATCGGGCCAGAAAGCACTGAAGGTGGTGTGAGCTAGCCCTTAAAGGAGAACTATGAGGTGAGTGATTTTTACTCATCCTCATAGTTCTAGCCGACAATGAGACTGGCACAGGTCGGCTCAATAGATCGAGAAGTGAGCGAACACATACTGTTGCTCGCTCACTTCTCGATCTATCCCTGTAGAGAGCTGTGACTGTCACTCACGGCTCACTGCAGGGATCCCCCCTCCCCTGTCCTATCCTCCAGTGCTGACTGGCGGAACGGACGAGGGAGGGGGCGGGTACAGCTGGCTTTGTCTCTAGATAGGCAGAGCCAGCTGTCAATCACGCAGCCGGGTGGATCCGTCCCGGCTGCGGCGTCTCAGTATACCGCAAGCTCTAGCTTGCGGTATACTGAGCTTTGGGTGGCGGGAGGACGCTAGTTTGTGTCCTCCCCGTAACCCTGGAGTTAAAGGAGAACTATGGGGTTAGGGCTTTTCCCCATAGTTCTCCTTTACTCATATCATATGCAGATGAAGCTCATGTCTACGATTCAAACAAGAATGAAGCAGATTAAACACAAAGGTAACAATTTTACTTTGTATCTCTCTATCTCCTGTCTGAACAGTGTTTGTAGGCACTGTGTAAAAAGAAGCAATACTCCTCCAAACATTCACTGCAGGTGAATCTGATGAACAGAGTAGGCAGGGCAGCGATGCCAAGCAGGAATCCCAGGTCATATTTTAACATAATTATATATTTATAAATTTGAATAAAATCTAGGAATAAATTGTGCAAGCTGTGCAATGAAAAATAAACATTTTGAACCTTTCTAGTAGAACCCCAAATCTTCCCTTTAATCCATCTAAATCGCCCCTCTATAACCTGTACATGTGTCACAGGGTTTATTCCTAATGTTTGCATGTCTTATTTGCTGGGTCATTACAAGCCTCTTAATGGTCCATGAATCAGAGAACTGCATTGTTTTCGCTATTATACTTTCTGGCTGTTGGGTACATGTCAGTGCTACTAAATCATTTGGGGAACAAAAGCACATCACTAACTACTGTGCAACGTATCCCCCCCCGAAAATTCTGATTTCTGTACAAAGAACTGCAAATATGTTTACATATAATAAAATGGAGGCTTATTTTTTTTTCAACTGTATGCTTTTTTAATGCACTAAAAAAAAAAAAAAAAAATGAACAAAATTAATGAAATATGAATGGTTATAAAAATAAGAGGAGAAGGCGTTAATTAGAGCTGATTAGGGTAAACTAGGGTACTGATTAAGGTACGTTTTTTTTGTAACTTAATTTAAGTTGGATGTAGTTATTTCATCAATATATGTTGTATAACACAATCAAACAGCAAATGAACAGGAATCACCAGCACTCAATGGAAAATATTCAAACGATAAAGTCCATTTAATCGGACAAATTATCATACATGTTGCAATAATTATAACCGACGTTTTGGGGGCCACAATGTAACACACCGTGAGGAACACTGCAAGCACCATTATTGTGATTCGGGCTGGAGATGCTGTGAGGAGTTCAGAGGGACATATTGGACTTTAATACTGTATAACACAATTAGACACCTACCTACTAGCTTTTCGATTGTAAGCCCTCAGGGGCAGGGCCCTCCTTACCATTTTGTCTTGAATTGGATTGTAATTGTAATGTCTTTCTTATATTTTAAAGCGCTGCGCAAACTGTTGGCACTATATAAATCCTGCATAATAATAATACTTTTTGGTTGTCATTTATATGTTGGGTAAAGTTATTCCACCATACTATGTTACATAACAGAAAGAGACACCTACCTACTGGAGGCTGTTTCCTCTGGTTCCTGCACAGGGAAAGTGTGCATTAGAAGAGAAGTGTGATTACATGGAGACAAGGAGGTGGGACTGTGGGGAGGTGAAATGGCTGGGACTGATCTTAAGAGGAGTGATTGTCCTTCCCTCATCCTTCAAGATTAATTAAAAAACAACAAAGGAAACAAAAAGCAGAACATTAAGGTAAACCGTCTAACTGCATTTTTACTGTCCTCTATACAGGTGCCCTCACCTAATATATTTTTATATAGGAAAATATTTTACTATTTTTTACTATTTTCCTATAGTTATGCTGACTTAGAAAAAAAGCAAAAAATGAAGTTATGGTCCCTAATAGACAACAGTCAGCTTTCATACTTATAATGAGACTATTGCCTGAATTTAAAGAGACATTCCATGGCTCCAAGCGCCAACAATCATCCCACGTTCAAAGGCTGTTAAATCGCGTTGTTTACCCGTATCTTCAGAACAAAAACACTTCTATCATTTAAAGTGATTGGCTCATCCCAGGATCCCCGCGTGCTGGTTTGGCAAGTTGCACCGGCTCCAGCAACTCAGTCAGAAAAGGAAATTAATCACTGCACTCCTGGCTGCAGCAAATTTTGGGGGTTATTCACAAAGCTGACGAAGGCAGCCAAGTGAATAACCCAGCCGAAGTGATCAGAACAACATTCGGCTATTCACTTGTCTTGTACGGCTGGAATTGGCTAAAATGAGCCGTATATCAGCTGCCTTCAGTCAGCCCAAAGTGCAGAAGCGGTTCGACTCAGCCGATCCAACATAGGGGCCGAACGGTAGTGAGTGAATAGCCGAAAACCGCCGAGCGGTAAGAGGAAATCTGTAAAAAATAATAATAATAATATAAATAATAATGTGATCCTGTTTTACTTACAATGCTCTACAAAGTATTTTTTTGTAAGTGTTTAGTTCTACTTTATTACTCTTATGCAGTATTGTATTGTTTGTGTGACATTCACATCCTATCTGTACCATACGTCCATTGTATCACATACAACAGCATATAGCTTCTTCCCGTTACTTGTACTCTGTATTATATACAATGAGTTGGCTTCCCAATTGTTATCTGCTTGGATGAAATCTTACCTACATAGAGAAAGCATTGTTTTTACTCAGCCAGAGTTGACTGGTAGGTTTGCCTTCAAATAACTTATTACATTTCTTTTTAATCTGTTGGGTGCATTTCAGTTACTAAGTCATTTTGGGAACAAAAGTAAAATAACCTCTTCAGCTCTCACACCTCTACACATTTCTGCTATGGGTCTGTTGTTCCAGCAATCAATTTGTCATTACATGAAACAACAAAGTAATACATATATTGTTTTTTTTTATAAATGAAAAGTATAAACTTTATTCTATAATTCGTCCTGTTTAAACTAAAATTACGATTCTTTACAAAACATTGCAAATATATTTATAAATGAAATAGAGGCTGTACACTTTTTTTTTTAATGCAACACTAAAACACATAAATTAACAAAATTAGTTATATAATAATTGTTATAAAAATAAACAAAAATAATCAGAGGGAAAATAATAGCTATGGGGAGAAGGAAAATGAGGAGATAATTAGGGCTAATTAGAGTAAACTAGGGTAATGATTAGAGTACTTTTTTTTGTAACTCAATGTAAGTTGGATGCAGTTATTCCATCATTCTATGCTGTATAACAGAAAGAGACCCATACCTACAAGTCTACTAGGAGCTAATTAGGGCTGATTAGGGTAAACTAAGAATTGATAAGTGGTTAAATAGGAACTTTTTTTTTTAATTGTTAGATTGCTTTAACTCATATCATAAGCAGATGGAGCTCATCCCTTTGATCTATAAATAAATGAAACAGATTAAAGTAGAATCAAACTCTCCTTTGTTTTTTCATATATCCACTGCTAGCAAGCAGTAGATATATGCAAAAACATTAATAAAGTATGCACAATACAGATCGTGGGCGCTGCGTCCTCCCCCACTGCTTCCTCCGGCCGATGGCGGCATCCGTCTTCCGGGTTCCGTCCCTTGCGAGCGCCTGTGTCGCAGGGGGCGGAACCGACAGGAAATTTAAACACCTGCTGTCCGGCCGTTGTAATTAAACGGCTGGACAGCGGCTTCTTGAATGCCGTCCCATCTGCCGCAGCCACTGCTGGCAATCCCGAGCTCCGCTGTGCCCGGTGTGAGCCCGGGACCGGCACAGCAGCTCTGCGGCCAGAGATCAAATGGAGCTCAGTACACGAGCTCTGTTTGATCTCCTCTCCTCTTCTGAATGCAGGCAGTGATGTGTATTACATCACTTCCGCATTCCTCTGTCACTCTCCGGTACAGAAACCTCTCTGCTTCATCAGCTTCTCTGAGGGTCCCAAGGTGATATTAGGGGTCCTAAAGACCCCTGATGTCTCCATAAAGAGGACCTGTCACTACAAATTGGCTATCACATAGGGAGCTTGTTTGCTCCCTATGTAATAGCAATAAAGTTCAGTGAAAAAAAAGGTTTAAAAAAATTAAAGTTACAAAAAAAAAAATTAAGTCACATATCAAAGCAATAAAAAAATAAAAATAAAGTCCCCCACCCCCACATGCACATGCAAACGCAAACATGCGTCGAGTCCGCCTACGTGCAAAAACGACGATTACATCCATTGCGCCGAACATGTTACAGATCGTCGCGAACGTCGGAATGAGAGCAATAATTCTAGGGTCATCAATCACTGATATCACTAAACTGATGAGCGGTAAAAGCTTTTAAAGCGTCGGCTATGGTCAATTTTGAGTATGGTAGTTTTTTGCGGGTGCACGCAAAAAATTACCATACTAGCGGGTGCGCAATTTTAAAGCTTGACATGTTTGGCGTCTATTTACCTGACGTGACCCCGTCTTTTATATTTTACCAAAAAATTGGGTAATAATACATGTTTTACAGGGTTTTTTTCAAAATTTTCGGTACTTTTTTCATTATATAGTAAAAAAAATACCCGTAGTGGTGATTACATGCCACCAAAAGAAAGCTATATGTGTTCCCGAAAAATTGTATAAAATTAATTTGAGTACAGCGTTGCGGGACGGAATAAACGTCAGTCAAAGTACCGCAGCGCTGAATACTGAAAAATGGCCGGGACAGGAAGGGGGTGTAAACTAAAAACATGCATACGTCCTATACTCTAGGGGGAGTATGTTTGGGGGAGTCAATGATGGAGAAAGATCCGGGTGTTCTGGTAGATCATAGACTCAATAATAGCATGCAATGTCAAGCTGCAGTTTCTAAAGCAAGCAAAATACTTTCTTGTATTATACGGGGTCTCCAGACTCCAGAGACAGAGACATAATCCTGCCCCTGTACAAAGCATTAGTAAGACCTCATCTGGAATATGCGGTTCAGTTTTGGGCACCAGTTCACAAAAAGGATTTTGTGGAACTGGAGAAAGTGCAGCGAAGGGCGACCAAACTCATAAGAAGCATGAAGGAGCTGAACTATGAGGAGCGATTAGCTGACCTGAATTTGGACTCTCTGGAGAAGAGGCGACTAAGGGGGGACATGATCACCATGTATAAATACATAAATGGTCCATTTAAAGAACTTGGTGCCAAATTATTCACGTTAAGGTCACTGCAAAGGACAAGGGGGCACTCTTTGCGTCTGTTGGAAAAGAGGTTTAACCTTTGCATGCGGAAAGGATTCTTCACAGTTAGAGCTGTGAGAATGTGGAATAGACTCCCCCAGGAGCTTGTTCTAGCTAGCTCGGTAAATTATTTACAAAAATATCTGGATGTATTCCTAAATGCACAGAATATTACTGGATATTGAGTTCTTAGAGGTATATTAAGCATCAGAGATTGTTGATCCAGGGAATATCCGATTGCCTTATGGGATCAAGTTGCAAATTGAACCGTGCTTTATAGGTTTTTTTTTTTGCCTTCCTCTGGATCAACATTGGGTAATTGTGGGCATAGTGTTCTGTTTAGGCTTGTCTTCCTTTTTCTTTGTATCTTTATAGGTTGGACTCGATGGACTTGTGTCTTTTTTCAACCTGACTAACTATGTAACCCCGGTCAGCAAGTGGTTAAAAGAAAAAAAGAAGAAAAAACGAACAATAAAATAAAAAAAAAAAAACTGACATAATCAGATCACCAGGGAGGTTAAAGATGCCAATGGACGGAAAATCTATTTTAAAAACTGAACTCCGGGCTGGAAAAAAAGGCCCACTACAAGAGTTTCCCTTTTCCAGTCGGAGCTCAGCTTTAAAATGTTTGTTTGTTCAGTAGAAAATAAATTGGGGAAAAAAACAGACATCCTTAACATTTTGAACCTTTCTATTAGGACCCCAAATCTTCCCTTTAATCTGTCCAAATTGCCCCTCCATAACCTGTACACGTGTCTCAGGTTTTATTCCTAATATTTGCATGTCTTTTTTTTTCCTGGGTCATTACAAGTTCCTAGATGGTCCATGATTCATAGACTGCATTGTTTTAGCTGTTTCACTTTCTTGCTGTTGGGTTCATGTCAGTGCTACTAAATCATTAGGGGAACAAAAGCACATCACTAACCACTGTTAATATAATTTTAGTCCTGAATTATGGTTCAGATTTTGTCTGCACCAGTTTTGATAAATTCCCTTCAGTATATTTACAAAAAAAGAGGCTTTTTTCAACTGTATCCTTTTTTTTATACAACACTAAAAAAAAGAATACACAAAATGAATTAAAAATAAACAAAAACAATCAGAGGGAACTTAATTGCTAAGCTGAGAAGTAGTTAATTAGGGCTGATTAGAGTAAACTAGGGTGCTGATTAGGGTAGGCATTTTTGTAATTCAGTGTAAGTTGGGTGCAGTCATTACATCATTCTATAGAGTATAAAAGAAAGAGACACCTACCTACTAGCCAAACTACCTACCTGCTCGCTATTACAATTTCTGTCTGTTATACTGTATGTAAGACACTTACAATAATTCCATCTTTTATGCTGTATAGCACAAAGAGACCCCTATCTACTAGGGAGGTAATGTTATCCCACCATACAATGTTACATAACAGAAAGAGACACCTACCTACTAGAGGCTGTGCGATTACATGGGTACAAGGAGGTGGGACTGCGGGGAGGTGAAATGGCTGGGCCTGATCCTAAGAGGAGTGATTGTCCTTCACTGATCCTTCAAGATTAATTAAACAACAACAAAGGAAACAAAAAGCAGAACATTAAAGGAGAACTATGGGGTCAGTGTTTTTCCCCATAGTTCTCCTCAGGGTCACGGGAGGACATAAACTAGCGTCCTCCCGTCACCCAAAGCTCAGTATAGCGCGAGCTACAGGTCGCGCTATACTAGGATTGCCGCAGCTGAAGCGGATCCCGACATTACTGTCGAGATCCACCAGCTGCGTGACTGACAGCTGGCTCTGCCTATCTAGAGGCAGAGCCAGCTGTACCTGCCCCCCTCCCTGTCCATTCTGCCAATCAGCGCTGGAGGATCTGAGCGGGGAGGGGGGAATATCTGCAGGGAACCGTGAGTGACAGTCACAGCTCTCTGCAGGGACATGATCGGTATGTGTTCGCTCACTTCCCGATCTATTGAGCTAGCAAGCAGTAGATATATGCAAAAACTTTTTTTTTTTAAACCTTTTGAAAGAGGTTTAAACTTACCTGTGTCTTTGCCGCGCGCTCCCATCCAAACATCTGAAAATTTCTCGGGCGGCCGCAAAGGATCTTGGGGCAGGCGCATGCGCACTTCAGATGTTCGGCCGGGAGACGAGGAGAGACACAAGGTAAGTCTATGGAGCAGCGTGCACCCTGATAGACACCGTGGGACATGAGAGAAGAGGAGGACAGAGGAGTCAGCCTGGGGGGGGGGGGCCCAAAAAAAATCTTGCACCAGGGCCCTTTGTTCCTTAGCTCCGCCACTGGAGTCAGCACTGGATCGGAGTCCCGCAGCAGCGCTGGGGGACAGCTAAAAACGACAGTAAGGAAGAAGAAGAACGGATTAAGAGGCATCATTTAAGGTAAGTCCCTACAGTAACATTGAGGGGAGGGAAAAAAAATCCTTTAATGTCACTTTAATTGCGTGCAGCCTCTTGTACCTCCCTATGGGGAGGACGTGGCTGCGCATGGTTACACACAGATCCGAATCTGCACATCCATGTGGGTCCGTGTGCCCGCACTTGGACGTACACTGTCATGCTTATATTTCTTTTTATTTATACACTCTAGAATATACAATTTTCGCTGTAGTAAATGACCCCAAATTCTTTTTGTGTAGACCGGTGTATTTTAAAAATCTTCCACAAGGTGGCGCTACAATTCCACCGACACTCATTTCGTTAAAAACTGTTGTGATGTTACCTTGTAATGTAACGGCTTAGAAAAAAAACCACCAAGAAATGTAAGAACAATTAATAATTAACTGTAAAAAGAAATTAAGGTAGAAAGTCAGTCATAAAACAGAATTTCTCACATTAAAGTATTTATTTAGTATAGTAAAATGTTATCTATGCAATGCCTTCTTAACAGTATCTGCAATCAA